GGTAGGAGATGCCCAGTATGTTTAGGCCCCAATTTTCATCCAGATTCGTTTGGTGCGTGCTATTTTGTATTGGTAGAATTCTTTCCATGGTTGGAGTACGTTTGCTACTCAGTCAGTTATAACAAAATAGGGAGTCCACCCTGAGAAAGTAGGCCCTTAGTGTCAGAAATAACACTTTCAATCTTCAGCAAAACGAGAACACAGTTGACATGTTGTTTAAGCCGAAGATGTTGCCTGTTTGCGTAAATGAGCTCTTTGTTTCAGGCTCATGTGCAGTCAGGAATGGTTCCTTCTCATCCAACTGCCCATGCTCCAATGATGCTAATGACGACACAGCCACCTGGCGGTCCCCAGGCCGCCGTCGCTCACAGTGCACTACAACCCATTCCAGTCTCGACAGCAGCGCATTTCCCTTATATGACGCACCCTTCAGGTGAGGCGTGTGTGTGCAGGGGCTGGCACGCTGCAAAGCGGTTTACTCAAATGTGGAATGACAGTGAACGCTTCAGACCTTTTTTGAGAATAGGCCAGATTGGTCAGCGTGTGCACCTGAGACATAGTGAGACTCCTCTGGATACTCGTGTCTGTGATGGCAAGGAGAAGATGAGGCGTTTTCTCTGTAGGGAGGGCATGCAGGGTCTGGATTGTTTAGCAGCATCATTCTGTGTAGCTAATGTCTGCATTGGACTGTGTTGGCCTTCCTAGCTATGACAGTGAGCAGAGCAGTAGTTTTCTTCCTGAATTCCAGTAGCTTGGCATGGGGGGCATTGCAGTAGCACAGTTTGAATGGAGGCAAACTCTGGAAAGTCACTGTTGGAAAGGGCTGTGTGTGTTGTCCTTTGATTCCGAGCGCAGGGGTTGTAGCACATCCCTGAGGGGAATAGAACCATCCCTTCAGGTGGACTCTCCTGTCTGATGGCTGCTATGGCAATATTTCACAGTCTAACCTTTTTAATCCAAAAGCAAATACTAGTGCTTGGCTAATTTGGGATAAACGTGGCTTCCCCCTCCTCCTCTTTTTCCACAAGCAACATGAAATCATCCTTGGAGCATTCTATGAAATGGTGTATCTGCCAGTTTGACCAGTGTGCCCCTTGGTGTAGGTGGGAGGGGAAAAGTGAACCTGATTTTTCTTGTTTTGGTTTAAGCTGATATTCTAAGGATAGCATGAGGCTGTATGTGTTGCCAAAACATTAGAGAAATTTGTGTGGTCCTGCCAGTTTTCTGTTTAAATATTCACTCTTCTTTTTTACAGTACAAGCCCACCACCAACAGCAGTTGTAAGGCTGCCCTGGAGGAAGCAAAAGGCCAAATTCCCTCCTCCCTTCTACTGCTTCTACCAACTGGAAGCACAGAAAACTAGAATTTCATTTGTTTGTTTTTTTTTTTAATTGATTTCTCATAACATCCAATAGGAATGCTAACAGTTCACCTTGCAGTGGAAGACATTTGGACTGAGTAGAGGCATGTAGGCCCTTGCAGGTATCCCGTAATTCCATGCAAGTGCCCCAACTCTGCTTGCTGAAAACTGGAAGTTATTTATTTTCTAATGACCCTTCAAAGTCATGAACTCATCAGCTAGCAAAAGAAGTAACGAGTGATTCTTGCTGCTATTACCGCTAAAAATCAAGACTTGGAAAGCCCCTTTTACTAAACTTGAAAAAGGTTCAGTAAATTCTTATCGTCAAACTGATGGATTATTATTTATAAATCAAGTTTGATGAGGCGATCACTGTCAACAGGCAGTGGTGCAACTTTTAAGTTAAGGGAAAACACTTTTACTTTGTAGATAATATAAAATAAAAATTAAAAAAAATTTAAAAATAAAAAAGTTTTAAAAACTGATACAAGTTAACGTGTGTTTGTATAAGCTACTTTTATTGTAGTTGATTATCATCCTAGCTTAATAAAAACTAAGAGGGATGGTTAGCAAGTGCTGTTTTCTGAGCTTAGGATATAGCCTTGTTTGAGAGAAATGCAAAATCAGGATGGTTTTTCTGGTGACTTAGAGGAACGTGGTGTGTCTGCTTCAAGGAAGAAGTCTGTCCTTTGGCAGGTGGAGCACAGCCCACACCCTCTGGAGGAAAGGGATTCCCGAGCTGAGGCTGGCAGCCCTCTGTAGTGGGACCGAGGTGTCCAGAGCCACTCTGCCAGCAGGGGGGGCACGAGGCTGCCCACGATGCCTTAATGATGGAGCCTGTTGAGCTCCTAGTGACTGCCAAGTCACGTGGCGGGAGGCGAAAGAAAGCGCATGCAAGTATGTCAGCAGTATGTGGATTTCACGTAGAAAACCACAAGATCAAGAATGAAAGTGCTTAGGGTACTCAGTGACAACACAGAGAGCTTCTGAAAACGGTTTTTAATTCGTTTAGCAGTTTGTACATCATAGCAAGATCCGCATCATTCCAGAATAAGTTATTTGATTGATTACAGTTCGTCCATGCTTTCCCCTAGGGCCTGTTCTGTCATTACAGATGTCATGTGGGCTAACCTCTCCCACAGGAATAGTGAAATATATGGCAGATAGGCCAAAGGCTTTAAAGATACAAGATGAGTCTACTTTCTGTGTCTTTGTAAAGTGCATTTTTATACCTAAAAGAATGCACTACTCATTCTAGCCCAGCAAATGCTGGATTGAAAATGCATGTTGGTTGAAAGACTAAGGATAACGGAGTATACTGTTGAGCCCCCGTTGCTTGGGGAGGGGTGGGGGAGTGCTCAGGGCAGGGGCAAGCCAACCCACATCTGTAGAGAATACCACAAGCTATGGGCAGGAAGCATGGAGGCAATGGCTTCGGATGGAACCATCCATGATCATTTTGCAGGCTAAGTAAATGTTATGTAAAAAATAGTGTTTTCTGGTCCACAATATTAAACATGGTTGTTATTCCTCTCTATCACAGCGTCCAGAAATTAACAGAAGCAGAGGATTTATAGCAGATAAAACTATTTGCATTGCTGGTCTAGAATTCAAGGCAGGTTAGTGGGCTTAATTCTTTGGTGCTGATGGGTTTTTTCCCTCTGAATTTCTTTGTCCAGTCTTAGACCAGATACAAAAAGTTCCAGAGAGACAGGTTAGAATACGGAATGATGGTGTTGGGAGACAATGTTATAATTCTTTTCACTACAATTAGGAAAGAATGGATGGAGCGGTAACTTAGGTGCTGAAACTATTCTTAGAAATGTGAAACTCATCCTTAGCAGGGACCTTGACAAAAGCTGATGATTTGACTGTGTGGTTCATCAGGAATTATGTTGCTCAGAATAAAGGTGGGCTGAGGACGGAAACTTGGTGTGATGGTATGTATGGCAAGAGCTACAGAGAAGGCTTCCCTGTTTGGCAGTCATGCTTGTCCTCGGGAAGAGGGGATGCAGTGAAAGCCATTGGGGTAGGACAGCCTCCTGCCAAGAAAGGCAAGGACATTTCCTCCATCTGGGACTGTTGTAAAAGAGAGAGAAGGCGGCAGTTTGATGTCACCAAACCTCACTTTTTGGGAGATAATGCATTAGAGCTGTTTAATCAGGGAGCCTTCAGAAAAAGAGTTGGAACATTTGGATTGAAGCAGTGTGAGCATGTGGTTGGGTGAGAGGGCCTACCCTCTTTTGAAGGAATCCATATTCTAACTACAAATATCTGTCATTACGCTCTCTGAGGCGGGTGTGCTCAGTAGCTGTTTTAAGTGTGAGGGACTGGCTGCAGGGTTATCTGGCTCAAGGCGCCTTCCTTCTGGAGGGCTGTGCTAACATGGCCGTAAGCCGCCCAGGCCCTTTCCTTGTTGGAGGAGCCGTGGAAACCCAGACAGATAACAAGTTGTCATCACACGCTGTCCACCTTCAGTGTTTTACAGGGAGGTAGGTGTAAGGCCTGGACCTATGATTTCATTGATTATACCTTTAACTGAGGCAAGCCAGCACCTTCTCTGCACTTAGAGTAAGTTGCTGTGAGACTTGAGGAAGAAGGGAAGTGATTTGCCCAGGATCCCATAGCTAGGATGTGTCTGAGGGTGGGATATGAACTTCCTGGCGTCAAGGTTGCCCCTTTATTCGCTCTACCAAACTCGTCCTCCAGCTGTTTAGTGCTTTTGGTCACATTGATGCTTAGTACTGAGCTGTTGATAGGGAGATCATCTTGGTTTTTGGTGTTTTTTTGTTTGTTTTTTTGGTTATTGTTTTTTGGCTAGGCAGTTTGGTTAAGTGACTTGCCCAAGGTCACACAGCCAGTAAGTGTTAAGAGTCTGAGGCCGTATTTGAACTCAGGTCCTCCTGACTCCAGGGCTGGTGCGCTATTCACCGCGTCACCTAGCTGCCCCAGAAGGAGATCTTGGAAACGAAGCTAAAATCCCTGTATGAACTTGCCAGGCAGGTCGTTGGGATGAGAGCGAGGAAGAGAGAGAGCCTTTGTCGCTGTTGGGCAGCCGAGTGCTCCTTCAGTCCTCACTCCAATGAGAGTGCTAATAAGGGCTTTCATGTAATTTCTATAGCACTTTCCTTACAATAGCCATAGAGCGCAATTTGGGATTATGAATCCGGCTGCTAGTGGATGGCCTCCGAATATTACCAGCAACTATCCAAATTGCTCTCTCTCAGCCTGGAGGAAAAGGAAGGCTGGAATGATTGGGAACTGCCTAAGATAGAAAGTCAGAGTCTGTTCTAAGAACAGGTCCAGCACACATAGCTGTACCAAAGTGCAGGTGTCGAATGTGTAGAGATGCTTGATTTCAGATTCCGAGGTGCAAATGCTGAAGTGGGGGGGAACAGATCACGCAAGTAGCATCAGAAGGCATCTGGCTCGTCTACATGCTAGGTCACTGCCGTCTTGGTGGCTGCGTCTCCACACTGAGGTTTTGTGAGCCAACCCCTGAGAAAGGAAAGGATAGGTAGAAAGAACAGGAACTGGTAAGACCTCACGGAGATTTGGAGAGGTATATGGGTGTCTGTTTTTGTTTTGTGTGTGTCTGCACACGTTCCTGTTTCACCAAAAACACATAGATCGATTAAGCTGGCTTGCGAATAGAACAGGAAGTTTATTATGCACTGAATACTCTACACAGGCTTACTGGTGATGGCCCTGAAATCCTAGCTCCCATTTTAGGTTCCATAATAAAAATACCTTATTCACGGGATCATTGGAAACATTACCAGAACTTTGAGTGTTGTGGGCACCCCCCCACCCCCCACCACCTTTAGTGAAGAATTTTATTCAGAAGGGTCTGGGAATCGTGATTCCCCTCTTCCCAACTAATGCCAGTCAGGAAGTGAACAGAAGCCAGTTTTTTATAAATAAGGCACCAGGATAGAACTCTCCGTCACCGTCCTCCCAAGGCAGTCACACTTGTTCGTTTCCCTCGAGATGTGACACATTTCACTTTTTGCAGTTTGTTTCTGATGGCAGCCCATTGTTATTTTTTTAGAATGGAAAAATGGTTTTTCTTGAGAATTCATTAGGGGACCAAAACATGCCCATTGGGGTGTGGAACCATGAGCTAGTGAAGTAACATTTGCATATCTCAAATTTTAACTACAAAAATATTGTTTTTATTAGTCTAAACAGTGCAATAAAAAGCAAGCAACCGTTTAGGTTAGAAACCTCCTTTAAGAACTAATCTGAGGTAAAAATGTTTGGTTTTTTTGTTTGTTTAACTTTGTGGATAAGCCTCAAACTCGCCCTTTGTTCAGAGAGTGCAGGTGGAAGCAGTGTTAGCCAGAGTGTTGGCGAGCTGTGGCAGGAGACATGGCTGACCTGCCTTTTCCTCTTCCTCAGCCGGTGACACAGATTTCTACTGAAATAGAAAACAAAAATCTCCATTTGTATTCTGGGGCATTAGTGTTTTGGGTTTCCTGACCCACTTATTAGAAATTTGTCCACTTGTCTTTGCCCATTTGTTCATGAAAGGGAAAGTACATATTCTGCCATGGCCTCTGGACCCCTGTGTCATTTGGATCCCTCCTTGTGCACTTGTGTGCAGCCACAGTGGCTGGGCTGGGCTAGGCGAGGGCAGAAGGTGTGCAGGCGAACCCTCCGGGACGCCCGACTTCATCGACAGCCCTTGAAAGCAATGTGGATATGGGCAACTCAACAGCAACTACTTCTGTAAACAGTGATTAGAAAGTTGTAGAGTAAAAACAGGCCTAGTAGGGCAGCATCCAAACGGGAATGAACAATCAACAACATCCCTTGTACAATCTCTGTCTAGCAAGAAGAAAGATAAAGAGGTACATTCAGAAGTCCCCAGCTCGACAGGTAAAAGTGCATGATGCTTCTGTGAGGCTGGGGCGGACTGGGGGTGGCATTGCCAAGTGGAGGAGGAGGCTGCCACCAGCCGTTCTTCAGAGAGGCGTGTACTGATTGTCTATGGCCCGGATGTGACCCCTGTTAGGTGAATCTGTCTCGTAATCTGAGTCCCGGGGTTGGTTCGGGGGCTCTGCTGACTGCTCCATGTGCCGTAGGCTGTTGGCCAGTTCCTCAGGTGGAGGCAGCAGGTGGAAGATCTGCTCGGAAGGAGAGGACCTGGATGGCGGGAGGTCCTCGGGGATAAGCATGTGGGAACAGCCAGAGGAATTAAGGTGAGGAAGGCCCAATTCAGAATTCCAGTGGTGGACAGAGAAAGGGAACAGAACTGTGTTGCTTGAACCTGGGAGACAAGGAGGAGGAGACACAAGAGTGGGAGATGTGTATGTAATAGACTGAGCAGCCACCTAGCTGTAAAAATATTTAGGATTTATGCAATGGATCATTAAAGGCTGCCCCTCTCCCTTCTCCCAGCCTTCCGCAGCCTCACCTGGCGTGTGCGAGACAACCACCACGTAACTGGAGAGCTTGACGTCACAGGCAGCCCCGCACTCGAGGGGGATGGGGGAGCGCTGGAAGTGATGCAGCATGTCCACGATGGAGGGAAAGTGTAGATGCTGCACCCGGCAGTGCCCTCGGTCAGTCAGTGACAGGCGCAGATGCTGCCAGGGGAGGACGAGGGCAGAGGGGAGAAGGGCTGAGCACAGGCAGGCACTGGTCAAGGGGAGGGGTTCCCCCGTGCCTCCTCCCACCTTGGCCTAGAGCTCTCTTGCCCCATACCTTGGCTCTGCCCTGGAAGTTAAATGTGAGGACATATTCTCCCCGTCGTGTCTCACTCTGCCGAACCAGGAACACTCCATGACCTGCAGGACCCTGTAACTGCACTAGCTGAGCCGCCTTCACTCGGGAGATGGGGCCGTGAAACCAGGGATAACAGGAGAGGAAGTGGTCTGTTTTCTGACAGGCCTGGTCAGGCAGTCCCCCAGGTGAGGCACCTAGTGGAGCAGAGAATGTGAGACTGAGTGAGGCTTGTGAAGCCCACCTTGTGTACACCCACCATGGCCTGAGCCCAAAACTGATCTGGCAGGCCTGGCTCCTCTGCGTCCTAGAAAGAGGCCTAAAGAGGGTAGGGAGCCAGGGTAGACTTTTCTTCCAAGGATAAACTGTAGAGGAGTAGGGGTGGCAGACCATCTTGTCTGGGATCTTTACCTTGGTTAAGAGAGTCGGTGCTCCCACTGGGGGAGTTGGATATACCAGGGTCTGGAAGTGAGGGGGCGTGTGATTCTAGGTCAGCTCCTTCTAACCTGCTGGAAAGAAGGACAGAAGGGTGTGCTAGCTCTTACCTCTCACTGGAAGGACTGGGACATTCTTGGAGGCATCAGCTCTGGGGTGGCTTTCCTAAGGGTCTGCAGTTCCCCACACCCTTCTCTGTTCCCTGGTCCTCCGTGTATCTCAGATCTGCCCCCAGGAGCCTACTGCTTTCTTCAGCCCCATTTCGGAAGGAATCGCTGGGGGTTGAGAACAAGGGTTATCCAACATTTCTTCCCCCCTTACGAGTCTAGCCTCCTGGAAACAACCATGGAGACGCGAAGGTTGCCATCCTGGTTGAGAATGATTAAAAAGACATGAGATGTCTTATCAGCCAAGAAAGAACTTGAGTTGGGGGCATCCTTTGACTCCAAAGACCTTGGGATAGATTGTCACACATGTGGTTCGGGTGCACAGGAGGAGAAGGGTAGTGGTCACTGCTTTTGAACTGGGGAAAAGGAGGCTCTTGAGATCCACTCCCACAACGCCTTACCCTCGGTTCATGCATTCTCTGATCTCTGTTGTCCAGGAATTCAGCTGCTGCTCATCTCCTGTCTCAAAGATGATGTCGGTTAAATTATTCACCTGGATGCAGAGGAACAGAGAGTGTTGTCACCTCTTGGGTGGCAGCTGTAGGAAGGAGGGTGGGGGGATGGCCGATGGGAAAAAGAAGGGGGAGGAAGAGGAAGCTGCTGGAAGACCATTTACCTTAAGGACAAAAGTGTTAAGGTTGTCAGGCATTTCTAGCCGTGTGCATCTCCGGATCTCATGAATGGAAGAACAAGCAGCCTGGAGCTTGGGCTTCGAACCCTGTGGAGCAAAGACAGGTTGCCCTCTAGGTACCAGGCAAATAACAGTTTCCTCAAGGCCAGGTATCCCCAAAGTGAGCCATTCCTTATTCTTCAAACTCATGAGCTGGCTCCTGGGCTCTGCTAGGAATCAGCCAGCCAACTCTCTCCCTCCCTCCTTGAATTTCTTCTTTCTAGACAGCCCTGAAACGACATCCCAGGCCCAACATGTGCAAGCAATTGCTTCTTAGTCAGCAGGAAGGGTGCAGACAGGCTGGGCATGGGGCCTGCTGGCCAGATGGACTAGCCTAGTTGCTGCCTTCTCTTCCCCACCCCCCAGCACCCCGAGGGTAGCTCCTGGATGCCTGGAGCAGTTTAGCTAACCTCCATCTCAAGTCCAGTGCAGCTGGGGTTAAGGGGGCTACTTAGGTACTGGGCTCAGTCCCACCAGAAGAGGTCAGGACCTTGCCAGCCTGGTAATCAGAATGCCTGTCCCAGATAACCCTTCTGCCTTCTCAGAAGTCTTTTTGTACAGCCCCAACTGGAAGCAGCTTTCCTGATGTCCAGTTGGGTATATGTTTAATATTTGCCGACCCAGGAGAGAACAGTAGCCTTAGCCTGGGGTCTCTTCCATTAACAGCTTGACTTTGGTGGGATTGCAGGTGGAGCCTCCTGGAGGCCTGGCTGAAGCTGCCCTTCCAGTGTTCAAAGCCAACAATCTTAATCTGAGCAAAAGGACAGGCAGTTCTCCAGGGACCCAGAACTTCTCTTCCTCCTCAGCCTCCTCACTGCCCAATGGATGTTCCTGTTTTCCTACACTATCCTCACTCTCACACACTGTGGGATAGGGGAGCACCCCCCAATCTGGGAATCCATGTACCAAATAGGCTTTGGGTATGTCTTTTTGGGGACCAGAGCAGGGAAGGGTGTCTTCTTTGCTTCTTTGGTAATTCCTAGTCCCTTTGTAAAACTCCAGTGTCCATTCCGCCTCTCCTCAGCCCCTCTAGATCTTATTGAAAGGACCCTGAGTGATTTGAGAGTCAAAGGCTTTTCCGTACATGTGCCTTCTCTTTTCATTCACATCCTTACAGTGTGGCCCCAGCAAGGCCAAATGACAGCCACCAGACCAGCCTTGCCCCACCCTGTGCTCCATCCAGGGACTGGAGTGTTGTCCCCACTGAATAGAGCAGCTCCTTCCTGAGCTGAAGCTGGTGACTCATCCCTGGACTAAAAAAAGGGGATGTGAGCCAGTCAGAATGAAACCAGATTTCTCTCCTGTGGAGGTTACATGGTCCTCATGGGAGCCCAGGGCTTGAAGGCCAGTGGGGAGGAAGTGAAGGGTGAGGGAGGAGTTTGATGGTTCCACACATGTCTCAGGCTTTTCTGGCCCCCTCCTACACATCCCTGTTCTTTCTCACTCCCTTCAGTTCTTCTCTCCCCACCCCCCATCCCCATGAATTATCCTGGCTCACTTCTGCTCCAGGTTAATTTAAAGAATACTGTTGGACACTGAGTATCTCTACTCTGTTTCTTCTTGCAAACTGAGGGTTGGGATAGATGGTGAACCCTCCATTTTACCCAATTGCCTCATGTTGCAGAGGAGAGGCTCGGTGAGGGCGCAGTGAGGGCCCACAATAGTAAGGCGCAGAACTTGGATTCAGACCCATGTCCTCTGACTCCTCACCCAGCACAAAGACCTTCTGCTTAACATTTTATGGGTCTGACCAATCCAAGATGAATTTTGCCTCTTTTAAACCAAATTGTTCTCCAGGATGCCGCAGTAACTACAACCACCCCTTCCCCCAAGGGCGAGAGACTGATCTTTTGATTAAAGAGGTTGGAAGGATTAGAATGGGATTAAAAATCTGGAGGTGGGGGACAAAGGGACCCAGAATCCTGGTTGCTATGTTTCTGGAAGCACTTTGCTAACCCCCTGCAGAGACATAAGCAGATTTGGAAGAAGTTGGTGGGGAAGGATGGGAAGCCGGGTAAGGGAGCGTTCGGTTTTGGTGTGTTTGTTTGGGGGCGTGGAATGTGGTGGTGGCTGACTGTGTGTATTCCACTGGGCTGGTACTGCCTGAGATAAACCTGCCCTGGGGCCAGGGTGCTTCTCTCCCGTGCAGTGGCCTGGAGGATGCTGCAGACTCCTCTCCCGACAGCCCCGCCTCTGCCTGAAGAGTGAGGGCTCCTCACCGACATGTCAGTGTCAGCACACCATTCCCATTCCTCATCAGCTGTTGCCCCTGAGGTCATGAAGATGAGGGAAGGCCAGGTCAGTGCGGTGAGAGAAGGCTTGAAGGGATGGCCAGAGGGAAGTTCAGAGACTTGTACTTTGGGTTAGATAAAGTGATGCTTAAGATGCCTTCTGGCTCTGATCCCAAAGCCTCACCCATGGTCACAGGGTTAGTAAATGTGAGAGGTGGGCTTTGAACCCATCTATACCTTCTGCTAGCATAACCCACCACTAAGCTGATGTCAAGCAGCTGTCCCCTCTGCAGCCCTACCTCAGAAGAGGCCGTCTGAAATGGCTGGGAGGTCCTGAGCAGGGGCCCTCATGCAGCGCCCTTGCTTGGAGAGAGAAGTCTGTGGCCCAGGATGCAATTCATCCTTCGTTGACATCAGAATCCTGTCACTGCGGCCCCAATTGACTTCTATCACATACAGGTAGATTTGGTTCCTTTTATACAGTAGATGCATTCCTGGAAAAGAGTGTACTCCAGGGGCATCCCTTCTACAAAAGAAGCCTGACCAAAGCCCTTTAAAAAGCACATCACCCTACTCCGCCATCTGTTTGCTTTTTCCCCCAAGTAAGCCACACCTGTACCCTGGAAAGTGCTTGCCAGTTCAGCTTCTTAGGCTGGTCTCTTTACCTGGGGGAGACTTCACAAAAGCTTGGGGCTTGAGAAGTTGGTTAACAAGCATTTATTAAATACCTGCCAGGGACCCTGGAGATAAGTACAAAGAACGAAACTCCCTGCTTGCAAGAAGCTTACGTTCAAATGGGAGGCAAGCAAAAAGAAAGACAGCTAGCACCGATATGAAGTGAACAGATACAAATGTGTGCATACAAAGCAGTTAAATGCAAGCTAGTGTGGAAGGGACCAGGGAAGGCTTCATGCCTTTCCTGGATGGATGGGGCCTTTACTGCCTTTTTTTTTTCTTTGGTTGGCTAGGCAATGGGGTTAAGTGACTTGCCCAGGGTCACACAGCTAGTAAGTATCATGTGTCTGAGGTCAGGTTTGAACTGAGGTCCTCCTGACTCCCAGGCCAGCGCTCTGTGCATTGCGCCACCTAGCTGCCGCTTTACTGCCTTTTAAAGGATGATTTTGTTGTTGAGTCGTTCAGTCGTGTCTGACTCTTTGTGACCCCATTTGGGGTTTTCTTCGCAGATACCAGAGTGATTTGCCATTTCCTTCTCTAGTTCATTTTACAGATGAGGAAGCTGAGGCAAACAGGGTGAAGTGACTTGCCCAGAGTCACACCTAGTAAAGTGTCTCAGGCTGGATTTGAAATCAGGTCTTCTGACTTCAGGTCTTGGTGCTCTATCCACTGCACCACGTAGCTGCCCCAAAGGATGATAGGGGAACTCCATAAGGGGTAAAGGGGATGTCCAGTGGGACAGGACATGAAAGCTTCAAAGACTGAACAAGAGTTTGTATTGATCCTGAAGACAATGGAAACCACTCCCTAGAGTTGTCAGAGTATGGGAATGACGTGGAAAACCATTTTGGCAGTAAGGTGTAGGATGGCTTGGAGTGGAGAGAGACCCTTTAGGAGGCTTCTGAAATGATCTTGGGGAAAGAAGTTGAGGGGACCTGAACTAAGTGGGAGTCCTACTTAGGAAGGCTTCCCTGGAGGAGGCAGGGAGAAGGGAGGAAGGAATGAGCCGAGCAGAAAGGCACTGCTGAGGGTGGGACCAGCTTGGCTGGAATCCGGCCTTCATGCTCTGTCAGGGAGAGAGCTTCTGGGCTTAGTCTGAGAACCTGGGTTCAAACAGCAGGGCTGCTGCTCACCAGCTAGTTTCTCTGGGCCTCAAATGTCCACACGTGTAGCCTCCATGTCTGTGTCTCCTACTAGAATCCTAACCACAAACCCCATTAAACTGTGGCCGATTTTCCACAGGAGGGACACCTTGGGCAAGCAGGGATGGGGGGTAACAGACGAATGAGGAAGAACCACTGTTCTCCCCTCCCCCTCATCTTTTGCCTGCTCCTCTCCTCCCTTGTCTTCTCCTCTTTATCATCTATATTTCTTTGTCCGATTGTGAGATTTCTCCTGGGTCACAAGACTAGTGAAATCTGCTATGAAGAAAAACAGACAAGAATGGGGGCGGGAGGAAGCCCCAAATGATAAGAACAGAGGATTAGAAGTCAGCTGATGCCAAACCTGACATTCTCCCAGGCCCTGCTGCAGGGGGTCTGAATGGTGGCTGGAGGGCTTGGTGCTATAGGCTTCGAGGAAGGCCCCCCCTTTCCTCCCATGAGGGTGCAATGCTTCCTCACTTGAGTCTCCAAGAATTTTGCTGTGCTGAGGCTGCTCATGCCTTTTCCAGGGGCTTTCCAAATTCTGTCTTTCCTTCTCCCTGCCTCACCCCCTTAAAATTTAGTCTCTGTTGTTTTCCAGTCAGATGGGCACTTTTGACAGCGACCACATCATCTGTACTATACTACCACCTCTCTGACGAGATCAGTGAGCTTTTCCCAAGCCTCCCAGAGACTCTGCTTCCCTTCCCTGGTTAGCAGAGCAGACACAATGTTACATGAGCATAGAAAACTTAAAGGCATAGATTGAAACTGGCTTGTCCAGTGTGACAGCTTTAGGACAGACCTAGGCTGGGTATTTGAGGGTCTTTGTGATTTCAAGCCCAGTGGTGATACCTTCCTGGACTCCTGCCCCCTTCCTTTCCAGCCCCCCCAAACCTGAAATGGCAGGCATCTGCTTCAGGAGTGTTAATACCTTGGAGGCTTAGGGAACCAAGAACCTACAGAAATGCCCCTATTGAGGCCGCCCAAGGTTATCTGT